AGATTGGAAACTATTTAAGAGCTCTGAATTAAAATTTTAAAAATAAATAAAATATAAATACAGAATATGGTGACAGATGCCGAAGGCAGCAAGTGGTTCACCAGTCACTTATTCTACAGTCTGACAACGGACCTTCTTTTTATGGATGTCCAAAGTAACCAAGTTGTGTCTTCCAAGGAAGGTCGAAGAAAGATTAGTATTAGAGAGATTTATAAATGTGATTTGCCACCTTGGATGCAAATCTCATGAGCCTCTTTAGATTGCTTTGTCTTAACTATTTTATTAACTTCCCAGCAATTGTGAGATGCTTGTTCATCATTTGAACTGAATGCCAGGCCATTTTCTCTGAACGTCACTGCAGAGCTAAGCCAGCTAACCACACACCTGCAGAGCCTGGCTCTTCCTCATATTTCTGGAGTAAAATGAAACACTTTACTGCAGGGCCTGGGCCGGTTGTGGTATCCTGAACTGTCATCAAAGGGACTAGATGATGAAGTTTGGATATATAGGATGGTTTTCCTCTGTGTACTAAATCTGTTTATATATGTGTATATGGGTGTGTGCGCACACATTACTTGGTGTGAATTTGGGCATACCTGTGGCAGTCAAAGGAGAACATTGGATATCTGTCTTTGCTGCTCAGATAGGGTCTCTCTGCTATTTTTCTACTTTGTATTTCAAGCTAACCAGCCTACCAGCTCCTGGACATTCTCCTCTCTCTCTCTGGTCTCCCATTAGACTACAAGAATTATCGATACAAGAACTGTCTCTGGTTTTCTTTTACACAAGTTCTGGGTCTAAGAACAACATCACATGCTGGCACAGCAAGTACTTTTAGTCATTGACCCATCTTCCCACCAAGTGTGTGTTAAATCTTTATGGGAAGGAAACAATAGATCTGGCAGATAAATGCCATCTCTGCCTTTCATCCCTCATTCTCATGGAGAACTCCGAGACACACCCCTTTATTCTCCTTTCCAAGACACAGCTATAGAAGTGCCCATCATGCTGAGCCAATGTACCTGTCTGCCACCAAAGTTCTCAATCTCCTTTCCATTGCTCATGAAGCAGCCAAAACGGAAACCCGTTTCTCACAGAGCCACCCACCCGCCTCACCTCCATCTCCTCGCTGCATCAGGTTGTCACCTTCAACGTGAAAGATCAATATTTTAATCCTTGCCCCAGGTTCAGTTTTGAGAAAACACGGGCTTATAATTGACTAGCTTAGAATTGAAAATGAACCATCTGAATATGCGCAGAAAAACTAACAATTTGCAAAAACAATTAACTTGACCTCGTTATATAAATAAAACACATTTTAATGTGATTTTAATGTTAAGTCTTCAAAAATTTCAACAAAGTCCCATATCGGGAATGAGTAGAAATGTTATAGGTCAAGGATATGGAATCAGACACGAGTCCTCGTTGCACAGCAAACACAAGAACCCTTTGGAGTAATCAAGAACAAATGGCTAGGGCCGAGGTGTTCTGTGGCAATATAGTACTTGTCTAGCACAGGGAGGCCCTAAATTCTACCTCAAGAATCTGGTAGGGACTGGAGGAACAGGGAGACCCACGGTGCACATAAAAGTCAGGCACACATATACACAAATAAAAATTAAAAAAAAAATAAGATAAAATAAAACAAAAATCACCAACAAGTCTGTGGGCAGAGTTAAGGGAAAGCAGCGTGAATGGAGCTCCACACCCACAGGCAGAGACAGGAAGGAGCCAACTAGGCCAATTTAGGCTAAAAGAGGGATTTACCGAATTCAAAAGTCATGAAAGGTTACAGGGCGGGGCTCTAGGAACTTTCACCAATGCCCAGACTCAATAGGCTTGTGATTTGTTGACTAGTCTTGGAAGTCCTTCCTAGTACATGATAGTGAGTTAACTCAGATCCTGCAATATTTAAGCCCATATCTGAAGATAGGAACTTTGTGAGCAGGGAGAAGATAAGGTTGAGGGAAGATCATCCTGGACTGGGCCCTAAATCCCAGTGAGAGGCAGAGAAGGACACATAGATGCACAGTAAGAACGGTCACGAGAGAAGACGGAGGCTAGAACTAGAATCACACTGTCACAAGCAAAAAAGCTCATGCCACACCAGAACCAGGAAGCGGCAAGCACAGATTCCTCTCTGGAGTGTGTGGCCCCTGAACCCAAGATTTCAGACATCAGGGCTTCAGAACTGTAAAAACAGTGTTTTCATAATTCTAAGCCATCATATATGTGGGGTCCCTAGGAACCTAATCCAGTAACTGAGTTTAAAGAGAAATATTTGTTTGTTTTATTTTTTTCTCACTTTTTAAAGTCTGGGATAACTGAACACAAGAGGTATCATAAACTGTAGAGCCAACTCTACAGTTGAAGTAGCGCTTACACTACTATACCTCAACTGTGGGAAATCAGACAAAGTCCCAAAAAGTCACCTCAGACACACAAAAACCCAATGAAATGGTCTAAGCACATGAATGTGATTTTTAGTTCACACAAAAAAATTCAGCCAAGTTATCTAGCAAAAAACACACACTATTTAATATCCATCCCAGCAAATAATACAGGCTAAGAAGTAGTTAGCCCTCAGTGAGTCACGTCATGTAAGCTGACAGCAGTTACATCTAGCATTATGAGTTATAAGGTCTCAAATGTAGTGCCAAAATCAATTAAGCATGAGGCTGCCACATGTATACTATATTGAACTAATTTGACTATTCTGAGTAAAAGAAACATCACATTAAATATGTTACAGATAACCAAAGGCCATAGATGGACTAGACATTAGGAATAGCATCATTGGAAAGTAATGGGCAGAATATACACAGGACTATGCAAAAACTAAAGACAAGCTGAACAAAATAGTAAGATGAGAGAGGATTGAAGAGCCAAGGAAAGAGTCATTTCAGTGGCAGTCAGTATACAACTTGTAAAGCCCAGAAGACAACCCTTTGGAAATCATTCTTGAAATAGAGGAAGTGTTGAGCTGGCCTGCTGAATTCAAATGGATGGCATCCATGAGTTTACTCCTGAGGACACAAATGGTACAGCCTGAATTAAAAAAAGCTGCCAAATGGAGCAGATGATGCAAGGATAAATAAAGATAGTACTTAAAGTGAGAATAGAGTGGAATCCTTTTGCCTAAAATAATTTTACAGGAAGTCCACCTTCAGGTGAAAGTCAATCTAGCATACTCATTGCTAGGGCATACAGCAATGAGACATTTGAACATCAAATAAAAGATGAAGGGAGAAAGAAGGGGAATAATATTTGGTTTCCACAAAGAAGATAGTGGTATTTGCTGATTTGTTGACTATTATCCTATGCTGTTTTCATGAAGGGAGAAAGCACCAGTTAGAAAACGCAGGAACTGTTTGCGAAGTAAGTTCATTGCATCTTTTGCCTTTATTGCCCCAGGTGGACAATATCTTTAATGAGGTCTAAAAGAAAGAGAAAAGAAAAAGAAGGAAAGGAAAGGAAGGAAGGAAGGAAGGAAGGAAGGAAAGAAGGAAGGAAGAAGGAAAGAGAGGAAGGAAAAAAATCAGTTTCCGCCTTTGAAAATTCTGTGTGACAAGAAAATACAGAGGACTTTACTGTGACTTAAACTGAGGACACAGAACAGAACATTGAAAAGCATTGGAATTCAAAGGCAAGACAAAGGGACGGCAGAGAAGAGCTTCTCACTTCCCTCAAAAACAGCGAATGGCGTTTGGTTGTCAGAACCCAGGACTCCTCACCAGTAACCTGAACAAATCAAAGTCAAGTTGGCAAGGGAAGAAGTAGGGAGATACGTCAGATACTTAATGAAGTGTCTGCCTCTGACAGCCTTCTATCAGTAAAACAGCAGGAGGGAGGCTCAATTCAGAACGGGAAATAGTTACAGGTTTCTAGTTACCCTAGGGTGACATCTGCGGATCAGCTGTCAGATAAATAATTAACCGTATTCAAACAGGAAAGCAAAGAGAGTTGAGAAAACTTCCTCCTTCGATTTCAAATTACCATATAGGGTCAGATTACTAGACCATCATATCAATATTCATTTCCCAACTAGAAAAATCAGCTAAACTCTGTAAGTGTATCATCTTGTATGAGACAATAATGAGCAACCAGGCAAAAACCAAAGCTCAGCCAGTTAGGTGTCTTATTTCCTCACTTCCTTTTACAGAGTAGGCAGATAAGAACCAGAAGAAGTAAGTTTCATGCCAAGGACTTTCGTTTGAGGTTTGAAGCTTAGTTTTTGCAACACTAAAGCAGAAGTGTAACACCCAGGACCTGTGCAGTGGTCTGAGCAGACAGTTTCTGGGAAATGAAAAGATTCAGTTTCACTTTATCAGATTACAGCAACATACATCAATATATATCTACTGCTATTCTTCCTATTATCCAAGGTCCCGAACAATAAAGTGATAATAAGTATTAAATCCTAATTTTAAAATTATTTCTCTACACATTAAAAATAAAATCAATTTAGTGACTTTTTCTTGAGGTAGCAAAAATGTACAAAAAATGATTTTGTAAAAATCACCCGATGATTCTACTAAAATATCATTTCCATATTCTTCCCCATCTCCTCCAGACGTCACAGGAGTGAAGTTTGCCACTTTAGGGTAACTAACAAGCCCAGTATTGTAACTAGGTAAGTACAGACTGCACCTACTGAAATCAAACGTCATCAAACACTTTATGCAAGCATTATCCAGGCCCTCCTTCTGTGTCTTGTCAGAACATTAAGACGTCTCGTTTTTCTTAATTTCTTCTATTTAAAATACATAGCAGCATCCACCAGCCAACTTTTTATTATTTGTTTTGTGCATGTATACTATATATGTATATATATATATATGTACATATATATTTATACATATTTATACTCAATTGATTTAAAAGATTAATCACACTTTTCCCTAACATAAAAGTAATGTGTCAAGTAAAAACACTAGATATTTGATTCAATCACGTCCAACTTTAAGATATAGAAATAAACATTATAGAAAAAACCTTACCTTCGTTAGAACTCCATACCATCTAGCCAAATGCTAGGCAACCCATGGGGGTAAACACTGAATGGAGAACTGGCAAGAAGGAGTGAGGAATGGAACATGTCACTCTGAGGAAAGTAGAAAGCCAAGAGTTCTTTTCTTAGAACCCCTCCCTAACTTTGAGTCCAAAGTTCATACACCCATGCTGACTTTGCAGGGAGTAAAGGGCAAGCTATATAAACAACCAGAAGATTTCACTCTGCAACAGCATCAGAACGACAAAACTTCCTGAGGCAGGCTGCTTTTTCATCTTCATGCCCACTGCAAAACTGACTAGCTTGCTGCAGAGTAGTAAAGAAGCATGCTTGCCACTTGACAGTTCTTTGTAAAGGAACCACAGTCCACAGCAAATCATTCACACCTATCATCTTTATTGCTGTCCTGTTTGCTACATAAGCTTAGCAAACAGAATCAAAGCAAAGCCTTATCTACAAAAAAAAAAAAAAAAAAAAAAAAAAAAAACTCCACACTCTGTGGAGGACTTAGCACTGTTTCCTTTATGCAATGGTTCTCAAGCTTCCTAATGCTGCAAACCTTTAATACAGTTCCTCATGTTGTGGCGACCCCCAACCATAAACATTTCATGCTACTTTGTAATTGCAATTTTGCTGTTGTCATGAATCGTAATCTGATATGCTACCACCAAAGGGATCGCAACCCTTACACGTTGAGAACCATTGCTCTACACTATAGCACCAGTGATGGTTATAATTCCCTTCCCTTCTCTCTTAGTCTCTCTCTCTAATGTCACATGTATGCATCTCCACAGTAGATATGATTATCCACGCTCATCAGTCACACCTCTTTCCTCAGCAGCCTGCACTGTGTTGTGGCTCTTACCAGGTACTGGTACATAGTGGATGGTCAATACTTGCTGCTTGAATACACAGGGGGAAAGTCGCAAAAGCTACAAAGTGAGCAGAAAAAGTATGAGGACAAACGCCAGGAGTCTTCTATCTGCGCCAGGCCTTAGATCAGCGCGTGATTTTCTCTTTCTCACGGGACTTTGTCGTTGTGCATCACTCACTACACTCTTTACCCACCAGGGAGAAGACAGGTGCATTTGGGCACTTGTCCCCTCTTCTTTCCCAGCTCTCCCTTACAACTCTGTCCTGGGGTCACCTGTCCTAAGACTTCCACTGCCAACCGAAAACTGACTGAGAAACACTGAATCCCCATTGTTACCCACTGCAACTTTTATCATTCTTTAGTAAGATTTATTATGACACAAGATCAAACTGAGACGTCCTTGAAGGATGCAGATAATCCTAGCTTCCAATTCTGAATCCCTGAGAGCCATGTAGCTCCTGACACGTCACGGCAACTCTCATGTTAGTTTAGGGAAATAACTAAGATCCTAAAGTATTAAAGTGTAGACTCGGGGGACACAGACTTTCATAGAATCTCAAAATAAAAAGCCTAGACATTCTTTGAAGATGTCTGAAGTTTTAGAATGAAATGGTGCATGCATCCAGAGATATTTGGTGAGCAGAGGCTGTTCACACTGAGGGTAACTATAGAGCTAAGGTTTTAAACACTACCAATGACTGAAAGATAAGTCAAGAGGGATGTCAACATCCATGTCAATGTTGAAGACTAGGTAGGTTAGCACCTTCAGGGTTTGTAATTTTCCCCTGTGAGGTGTTTGCCTAAACCACCCCAGGAAAAGGTACCTAAAAGGAAGTAGGAAGGACCATTAGGAAGCTCCATAAGGGAAGTCTGTAGGGCCACAGCTTGCACAAGTTCAGCTGTTCCTCACTGAATGTATGTAATCATTTCAAACACCAGTTTGAGTTCTTTTCTGCAAAGTGGCTTCTTAATCCCTTCAAGAAGTGCCATATGGAATATGGTTAACTGTGATTATATCTAAAATGCATACCCACCTTTATCTGTACTCCAGAGGAAGTTTTATAGTAACATTGGTGTTTAACCTTCATTAAATATGCAAAATAGTGAAAGAATTAAAGCATAACTGTCTTACAACTTAAGGAGGAAAGGAGAGCCACTGGTTGATACCATAGAGATCAAAAAAGGCTGAAATTAATAATGTAACTGGAGTCTTTCCATTGTCATGGCACTGCAGAAGAAAGTGAACTTGAAGTTTAAAGCTGAGAAGCAGAGGCATGACTAAAATGTAGATCTTCAGTAGGTTTGAGGTAGAGCAGGCATTAGATACTCTTCGTATATTAGTCCCTTAAAGAGTTTATATCAATTGATATTAATTCTAGCAAGAAACACTCCTCTAACATTCCAATGAATGAAAAACTTACATGTTGGAGTTACACGTTTTTCCCCCCAAATGCTAAATGCAACGCTGTTATCACTTATGTGTGCCCTGTGCTCTGGTCCATTGCTGTTTTAGAACCGTCGCATGAAGTCAGGGATTCCTGTGACCTTCTCCATGCTTCCTCTGATCTTGTCCCCATTTTCTGGTTGTGTCTAAATTCTACAATATCCTGAGAAACTGTCAAGTTTCTAGTGGGCTTTCTGCCAAAGAGTTTCACGATGCTCTTTTGAAATCACTGTGGTGAACAGGGAGGGAAGGGGATCCTCCTTTCTCTTTTAGGGTTAAAAAATAAGACTGAGTGGGCATGGTATTTATATTGAACAATTGTTAGTATTGGGAGTTCTGTTAGATATGTTTATGTTTCTGTCACATCCCCTCAATCCAAGTGTTCGCTGTGCACGTTTTTGAGTCAACTATCTTCATACGAATTCTTGGTATCTTATCTCAGCTGTAAAATGGGATTGTCCTGCTTGTTGTCCCATACGCTCTTTATTTCCTAGTATGACTCCTGAAAACTATATCACTGATATTTTCTGCTGTTAATGTTAGCCAACTGGGGGATCAGGCTGCCCCATGTCTGTGTTTCTAATCAATAATCTTCAAGGGTATTCTACATGACTTCCCACCAGGAACAGGTCCCTGTTGCCATCGAACAACCAATTCAGCAATGTACCCTAAAATTAGGTCCCCCTTCACCCTATCTTACTCCTTTCAGGATCTTGTCCTCTGTTCCCTGGGACTTGAAAGATGTATTCTGGCCATGTTTCTTGGTGTCCCAATGTAGAAAATAGGATAGAAACATATCTGTTCGATTATCGGGTCCATTCTTTTTATTACCCTAACAACCACCAGACCTAAAAGTCGATACTCATTATACCCATTTCCGGTCTCAGATGAAGCTATAAGATTTAATATTTGAATAGAAAGCATTTAATCTCTTTATGTCCTGCATGCTTTGCATATATTAGGTGCCTAACAATAGAAAACTGTGGTTACCTCAAAGTGAGGGTTGCTTCAGAAGAAAAATTCATATGTAAAAGTAGCGCCCGTCTGCAGACAGCTCAAGAGAACTGAAGGAGCTATCTTTACCCAGTGACATTTTAGTCTGTAACGCTTCCTAGCAGGCTTCTTTTCATCCTGAGTTTTCTAATAAGAAGTCAGACTTTAATTCTCATGGCTTCTTATTTTAGATGTGCAGATGGCTTATTTTAAGCAGTCTCACTGAGCAGAAAAAAGACAGAAAAAATATCTTTATAGATCTAAGGTTTATAATAGAAATTGCATCAATATTTACAGCTGTAATTGCATGTACATGTGTGTATGTGTTGTGATTTGCCCTTTAAGGATTTATTGGTGGGACATGGGCATTCATACCTGTTTGTTTCTTGTACAAGAAGGATATTGAAAAAAAATAAATGAAGCCTCTCAGGTGAAGTATCATATTGATGGCAGCATACTGTAGAGCATAGTACCAAGAACAACAAATTGCTTTCCTTGAGTCAGAAAGGATAAATTTTCACAGAAGTAATAGCCCCAAAGGGATTCTCTATTCACTATGCTGGCTATCAGATTAGTTGGACATACTACTTCTGAGACAAGAGTCTCTAAGGGTCACTTTACATATTTGATGAAGAAATATCAAGGCATGAAAACATTGGTGTGTTTCTTCATAACATACTGAGAGATAATATATGAAGTCATAAGTTTGAAGAAAGGAACTGGTCTTCCAGGTCTTAGCTATATTGACTAAAGTGTTTGTCACTCTAAGACACCAGTTTGTGTTTATTCTGTTTCCTAAATAACATATATCCGGTCTATGTAGAGTAGCCAGCAAGTTCATTTCTTTCAAAGCAATCTTAAAATAGAGACCCTCTATCAGTAATTATTCCATGAAATGGGCACTAGAATTGCCCAAATGATTAATAACTTGATACAAAAGGAACTTGGCAAGAAAATGCAATTGTCATTTTAGAGTTGACTGACTATAGTTTCTTGTAGTTTGATTTCATTTTACCAGAGCATAAAAGTAATAGCAAGTTATCTTACTTGAAAAATACACAAAACACACACACACACACACACACACACACACACCACATAAAACTCGTAATTACTTTTAACTCTTTAGGAAAAATTTATTCTGGAATTTTGTCTGTGTGTTTGTTTGACAGTCCTAGGAACTATACCCAATCTCTTGGGTTTTACCATTGAGCTCCATCTCCAGGTCTCTTTTTACTTTGATAAAAGGTTTCACTAAGTTTTTAAGGCTGGCCTTGATTTACTCAGTAGTCCAGGCAGTTCTTGAACCTGTGATCCTCTTTCTTCAACTTATGGAGTAGCTGGAGTTACAGACCTTCACTACAGGGTCCATCCATATGTGCTTTAAAAAAGAACTCGCGACTATCTCTTTTCTCCCTAGCTGCCCAGAAATCTTCAGTCATCATAAACGATGCAGTAGTTTTGAGGTACGCAATTTTATGACCAACCAACTACCTCACAGGAAACCAATGATTGTTGATGGCCTTTACCACAGGAAGGCAATGATTCTGAAGACAGTAATTTTAGGAAAATTAGCCAAAATGTGTAAGACCATCCCAGAGTTCATCTTTCGATTTGGATTCAGAACTCCTTTTGGTAATGGAAAGACGATAAATAGCCTTCGATGTTATTAAGGATTGGGCTGCTTGGATTGCACAAAGAAAAATGAACCCAAAAACTGACTCACAAGGTTTAGCTTGAGTGAGAGGAAAGCCCTTTAAGAGAACAGCGGGAA